AAAATAAAAAAAAAAAAAAAAAAAAAAAAAAAAAAAAGACAAAACCTATCTCCTGAAAAGAAAGCAAAAAAAATTAAAATTAGGAAACCTCTACTACATATGCTTTTAATCCTTATGCCACAGAAGGAATCTCTGATCATGCTGTGGCCTGAGAGGAGGCTAAGACACAAACACACACACGGATGTGATGTGTGTGCCCGCTCCCCCACCCGCACACCACCACCTAGCCGGAGACTCAGTATTTTCCATTCTTTCTGAGATGCTATTCTTACACAGATGACTCTCATATCTACATCTTTGAGGCTTTTGTGCTGTAGCTCTAACTGCTTGCCGGCTTTCTCTACTTGGATGGCTGTCTGAAGTCACCTCAATCTCCATGTGTTTAAAACCAAGCTTTGTCTCTCTTGGCTACAGACTTCCATTTTTCTCTTATGTGCAACAGAAGGTCATTAGTTTGTTGACTGGAAAGTTGGTGTGGATAAAAGAGGCAAGAGATGGAAAAGCCAGTTAAAGACTATGCCGAGAATTCAGGAGCATTCATTAATTCATTGTGCTAACAATTATTACGTGCCTACAGCATGCAAGACCAACTTGCCAATGTTCAAAACCTTCATTTAACTTGAGCAGTCCCCTCTCTTCCCAAATCCTGCTAATTCTTCCTTTAAAATGCTTCTAACAAGTAGGCCAACTATAATGGCTCTTGGTTACCTATTCCTTGAAGAAAGAATTGTATTTATTATTCATTTTGAAATACCTTGCGGTTCCTAAATAGGGTCTGGCTCATGGGAGATGCTCAACAAGTATTTGACGACTAAATTAAGTCATGACTAAAGTAAGCATGAACTATAGAAACAGTCCCCTAACTGGATCCCTTGTCAGTACTCTCCATTGCTAGAAATTGTATTCCTTTTAGAAGCCAATGTCTTAGAAATACGCTTATGTATTAGAATTTTTGATACAATTAAGACTATAAATTCTGCCATGATTCTTTTTCTACATGTATCATAGTTAGTATACAGTATATTTAGCAATTAACCCCTGATTGAAGTATCACCTTATAAAAAAGCAGGATGAAGTTGATAGCGAAGGCTACAAACAGAGCAAGAAACCTCAGGTTGTAGAAATTCCTGGCCAGGTAATGCTGCAAAGAAAAGGACAGACAGAAGTAGAAGAGCTTTGCAAGGAAAAGAGAACTTCCTGCTTTCACACAGAAGGTCAATTCCGGTTAGAAGTTCACACATGACAAGTCCTACTCTTTGATGACCGCTCTTTTAGGGCAACCATGGCATTCTTAACACAGGCATGGCATGACTGTGTTATGTCATGAACATGGGACCAAAATGTTGATTTGAAAAAAAAATTGCTTAGAATTGCTATAAAGAATCCTGCTCTGGCTCATTGCTCAGGGAGCCAAAGGTGTAAACACGCCACCAGCAGAGGACTCGAGCTGTGCCTTGAAGTGCTGTGTGTATGCGTTTTCATGATCACCCCACGCAGCAAGCAGTCTATTAGGAAACTATAAGTGATCTAGGCTCGCAGAAGAACCTTGGCAACTCCTACCCTGAATGTAGCTATCATGTGGCCTCAGTCCTCATTCCTTTCCAAGCTACAGTTCCAGGAGCCTCTTCTCCCTTGGTGGGAGCAACATTCCCATTCTCACTGCTATCTTCCCCCAAAAAATTGGCATCCAAAGATTGGAGTGGAAGCTGCCTGGGTAAAGTTTCCAATCTCTCTGTGGGGAGCCCTCCCTAATGGTACTAGGGAAGGTGTGGTACTGGCCTTCAGCCACTGTACCTCAGTGGGCAATGTATCAGAGAAAGTATTACAAGCTGTTCTAGGGTTTGATTGCATATAGAACAATCAAGGTTTGGAGGACTAGTGTGGGAAGATAACCTAAGAGGAACATTCTTTCTGATTCCCACATGATCGAATCACTTGTGAACTTTTGGACCAGGATCAGCTATGTCCCCACATAATACACACAAAGGACAAGGTAGAAAGAGGTGTTCCTGCTCTCCTGGTAAGGAAGCAGGTCAGAGAGGACACCTTGCTGATAGCAGAGCTGTTTTAAGACTGGGGTTCTTTCCAGACTCTCCCCCTTTTCTTTTCCTCCAACAGAAAAGGAACAGGTAGACATATGGGAGGAAGAAAGTTTAGGAATGAGAAAAGGGAGGAAGCGTAACTGATCAAACAGTGAAACAAATCAGAGGCACCTCTCTGCCATCTGCCTGGGCCGATGCCTGCACCATGAACAGGGCCAAGGCTGGAGCGCTTACCAGTAACTTGGTCTGATAGATTTCCAGCCCTTTAAAGAAATTCGCCATGAAAGCTTCCGGCTTCTCAACCTTCTGACCACGCCGTCGCTTCTTCTTTTTTGTCACTTCTGTCCACAGGTACTCAGCTTCCTCCTCTTCTTTGTCTTTGTCTTCCTTCTCTCCATCTTCCATGCTGCAGAAATGGGAAACCCACTCAGCAGGGGAGAAGGGAAGGAGGTCTGGCCCAAAAGGGGAGACTAAAGAGAAATCTGGGTTGAGAGGAGCAGGAAGTAGAATCATTCCTTGAGGGTGGACATTTCAGGTGTTTATCAAACCACAGTGGCTGGACATTAAATTTAGATTTAATGAATGCTGGCCACTTGGATTGGCCATGATCTTGGTGTACATCAGCTATATACAAGTTGATACTCTTCTGAAATTAGACTTAACCATTTTTTCCCTTCTGAAGTTACCCTTTATTTTCTAAATAGTAGTACCTACTCTTCTAAGCTTCTGGCAAGATTTAATAAGATACTCTACAGAAGACCTTAGCACAGGCCTGACAAATAAAAGGTATTTAATAAATATTATATATCATTGTCATCATCAATATATGAAGTTGCAAAGTCATCTAGCCAGGTAGTGAAACTCGGATCTGCTAGTGGGATTATAAACTTAGCAAGATGAATATAATGTATTTACTACATAGCTAGGGTAAAAGGAAATATACCCAGGGCTTGTAGAATAATTGCTTGCATTGATAGAAATCAAGTTTTCTATTTACTATAGCAACAGAATATCAGATGCTCTCAATAACTATCTTTATTTTTTCTTTTTCTCTTGCTTTCAAGACAAGGTCTTGCTCTGTTGCCCAGCTTGGAGTGCAGTGGCGTGATCTTGGCTCACTGTAGCCTCAACCTCCTGGGCTCAAGCAGTCCTCCCACCCCAGCCTCCCAAGTAGCTGGGACTACAGGTGCACACCACCATGCCCAGAAATTTTTGTATTTTTATAGAGATGGAGTCTCATTATGTTGCCCAGGCTAGTCTTGAAGTCCTGGGCTCAAGTGATCCTCCAGCCTCAGCCTCTCAAAGTGCTGGGATTACAGGTGTGAGCCACTCTGCCTGGCCTAAAAACTATCTACCATAGCAGTAAGAGTAGCTGATGTTACCAAGAACTTACTCTGCCTTCTCGGATTCCACTTTTCCTTCTGCTTCATTTGCTGCTTTCATCTCTGCTGCCTAGATAAAAATAACAATCAGTCAAGCTTTCCTCAGATTGCTCTGAGGTCATGATGATGAGACATTTTCTTGGCCATTTGCTTCTTGGTCACAAATTTCAGTGGCTTTTTCATGTTTCTGCTTCTCCCAGGACCACTCAACATAAGTATCCTGCTATGTCTATCAAGTGACTCTGAAGAGATGCCAAGACAAAGATTTGAAACTTGGAAACTCAACTGTCCTTCTATGGTTAACTCAATTCAAAGAGGAAACTTGTGTTAGGACATCGTGAGGGCCTCATGGCAGTGGTTCTCCTGCTCTGTGGGGTCGGAAAGAGATGGAGCACAGATCAAACCAAGTTCCATCGGCCTGCTTGCATCTCACAGGCTGCTTCCTGCCTTGTCCTTAATCCTCTTGCCACTATCCCAGTCCCTCTGGCTGAGGATCACTGCACTTAGAATAAAATTCAAGCTGCTCAACATAGCCTATGAGTCTTGCATGATCCTGGGATTTCTCTTCATCCCCACCTTGTACCATTTGACTTGTGTCCTATACCCAAACACACAGACTTCCTGTAACATTCCCTATCCTTCCAGGCATACTTTCCAGAGAAGACTTAGCTGTATCCTCTGCCTGGAGTATGACTGCCACAGCTTTTCATAGGCCTGCTACCTGTCAGGACTTGACTCATGATACCTTTTCAGAAGCCTCCTCAACCTATTTCTGATGGGCCTATATTCACTCTGTAACTTATTGTATGTTCATGTATTCTTTTATTCTTTTTTTTTTTTTTTTTTTTTTTTTTGAGATGGAGTGTCACTCTTATTACCCAGGCTGAAGTGCAGTGGCACGATCTCGGCTCACTGCAGCCTCCGCCTCCTGAATTCAAGCTATTCTCCTGCTTCAGCCTTCTGAGTAGCTGCGACTACAGGTGCCTGCCACCATACCCGGCTAATTTTGTTACTTTTAGTAGAGATGGGGTTTCACTATGTTGGCCAGGCTGGTCTCAAAGTCCTGACTTCCAGTGATCCACCCACCTCAGCCTCCCAAAGTTCTGGGATTACACGTGTAAGCCACTGTTCCTGGCTGCATGTTCATGCATTCTAACATGCAGCACAAATGATAATTATCTTATTTGTTGTCTTCTCCCACTAGAAGGTAAGATCCATGAAAGCAAAAACGTGGTTTCTGCTTTGAACCTATGTATTCCCATATCCCACAGCCTGGCACACAGCAGTCCTGGAATGGGACCCTATTATGTATCAAACTGTGTTCTACGTTTTGGGGCTACATCAGGGAGCAAAACAGAATAATATTGTAGGAATGCCGATTCTGATGTTTTCTTCCCTGAATGTTCAAACCAGGTGAGAGTTCTGTCCTACAGAGAACTGTAATACCTGACATTTCTCCTTCCTAGCATTCTTTATACCTGTCTTGACTTGTCCAATACCTTTCTTCTCTACTGAACTGTAGGGACAATGTGTTTCTTATTCACCACCACCATATTCCCAGAGACTAAATTAGTGACAAGTGCACATTAACTTTTCAATAAATAATAATGGAATGAATGAATGAATGTTTTTGGGCTTGGATCTTTTCACACTTCTCTACTCTCTGATGCTAGAATGACACTGTGAATTGGATACTACAAGAAAAGGGAACACCCAGAACCTTCCATGGTCAAGGGGCTCTGAATTCCCACTATCTTGTTCTATTAATCTAGTTGACATGAAATACTAACTCAATAGTGGGTGTATCACAGGGATAAAAATGTCCCAAGCATGATCAAACTCAATGAGAGGCTATGCCAAATCCTAAGATATCATTTTGACCTTTTAAAACCCTGAAAAACCACTGTCTCAAAATGAAGGCTTCGTGTTGTTATACTTGGTTTTCTATGCCTTTGGTTCACTGAATGAATCTGCACAGCACGAGAACTAACCTTCTAATAAAAGACTGAGGCAAACTATTGCAGGCCATCAAGTCTGAATTCTACAATGTAAACTAGAAGACCTACCAATGACTAGACACTGAGATGACCATGTAAGTCTTAATTTCTGCAGACATGTCAGAAGTGGAATTATAAGATCAGCATAGTCATACCAGAGTGATTGTCTAATACAGTATTGGCACCTGGGGAATGGTGTCAGTACTGATCACAAGATATAGTGGCAAGTCTTATTCTGGAGATAAAGAAAGATGAAAGAAACAAATGACACTTACCTGTGCTTTCCTCTTCTTCTGTACAGTACTCTCTAACGTAGGGGGTTCGTCCTTGCCAGTAATTTCTGAGAGGTCACCCAAACCCACTTCAGGCCCATGCTTTAAGCTGCCCTCTTTCTTTGGGTGGAGTCCAAAGAGGTCTGACATGATATCTGCATCGCCCTTCTCACCCTTTATAAAGTGTACTAGTTCAGTGGTGATACCTGGCTCCATCACCTCTGCCCTCTCAGCCTCCATAGTGTCATCATGGATACCAAACTGGGTTGGGTCAGGCATATCACCCAGGATCTTGGTCACTCTGATGTTCTTTGCCCCTTCTACCAGGCCCCCTCCAAACACTGTGCTCCAGAGGATCTGAAAGATTCCTCCCAGGATGGTGAAGAACAACTGGAATAGACCCACAAACAGCATCCAGAAAAAGGAGAAGAACACCTTCACCAGCTCCTTCGCAGTCATCTTTTTCACGTTCCTGTACTGCTTCCTGAGGTTCTTCAGGGTTGCTCTCTTCAGAAAGTTGGCGACATTCCTCTTCACAGAGTCACAGGCCATAGCAAATGCAGAGGCCGGCTCGAAAGACTCATCTTCCTCCTCTTCACCCACAATTTCTAACACGTAAGAAGAATCTTCATCTTCTTCCTCCTCTTCTGGCCTGTCAGCTGAATCGGATTCAGAGATCTGAGATGCTAACTGCATTTCAAAGATGGTGTCCTCACAGAAGTTCACAAACAGCTCCATCTTCTCCTGCTCCCCACCTTCATTGACAACATCAAAAATGAACTGTCGCTTAGATTCCTTCACCTGGGGCTTCTCCCACTGAGTGCGACTGGATTCGCTGATCTCAAAATAAACACGCTCAATTTTCTTGGCCCCACCCATGATCTCAATACGTCCTAGGTATGGTTCGAAGTAATTGAGCACACTTTCTGCTGGGTCCAACAGACACTTCAGGCGGGAATCATTTGGCATGTGTTCAGAAAGATTTGTCAATAACACAGCCACATTAAACCCTATGTCCTTGGCTGGCTCATGGAACCGGTCTACAAAATCAATGTAATTAAACATGTCATTCTCATCAGCTTCTGCACACGAAAGGAGAAAGTCAATCTCTGACGGTGTGTACTGTTTTTGCCCTTCCATGGCCTTCTGGAATTCTTTTTTGGAGATAATTCCTTTACCATCTGGGTCATACTCTTTGAAGGTGTCTGAGCTGGTTAAGTCTTTAAGTTTCAAGAACATGTCAAAGAATTTCAAGATCATTTCTACATTGGTAGATGATTCTACCAGTGTGTCAACCATCTGCTTGCCAATGGTGCCATTTACCACATTCCCTGTGAGGCAGGTTCAAAAAGACATACAAATATATAAATAAACCCAAGCCATCATGTAATTTGTCAGGTAGCTATTTTTAGAAGACTTTTGTGCCAAATTAGTCAGCTCTTCTCTCACCGTGATGATGTAGGAGGGAGCAGCAAGCCATAAAGACTACACCACTAGGAGCCAAGGGGGAAAGAAACAAAGGGAAGAAGGAGGTGGCCATACCACTGCCTTTAACATGGCCTGGGGCCTGGGAAATGGTTTCATTATCAGATTGTTGGGGACACACGGGGATACACGGTGTCCCTCTGATCCCCTTAGACCTAGGAGGGTGCCCAACTAGATGGCTGGCATACACACTGGCAGCCAGATGTGTTGAAAAGCAATGGGGAGAGGGAGAGGATAGGGAGGAGCAAAGCTTGGAGGTTTTCCCCAGTTCATTCTGGCTTTCCTATTGATATAAAATGAATTGATTTCAGGCTTCGTCCATCAGACCAGGTGCCCCTCATTTCATTTTTTGTTTCTGAAAATTTGGCTTTCTGACCAATGTCATATGGCATCAGTGACCTGCCAGAAGGATAATCTGCATGATCAGTAAGGTTAGTGCTCAGACCAATTACAGTTGTGTGAAGGCCTAGTTATACCAAACAGCCCAACCTTCCAGGAGGGACAGAAGCATCACCACCATGTCCTGAAGGAGATCCAAGAGTTCCTTCAGCAGCTCGATCTGACTGGAATCCTAGAACAGAAACAGGAGATACCCCTGAGCTATCTGATCCCTCAGTAAAGTACAGGGCAGTGAGCAAGAAGAGCCTGCTCTGGAAAGGTTAGGTGCAGGCTGCGTCAGTGTCAGGGAAGAGCTTCCTTCTCATTCTGAATGAGGATGCCTTATCGTCCACTGTCTGCAGCACCGGGAGACTCACTGTAGCAGGACTCATCAACAAAGCTCCTTTACATTTTTCCTTTTATTAGTACAATGTGGCAGATAGACCAACTGTTGTCCAAAACTACTGAACAACCCAATGCACCAAAGAGCCTTCAGGTATCTCTAGTAGTTTATGTTGCCATTTTCTACAATGGAGAATTACCAGTGAGCTTTATGGGAATACGAGACATCTGGTAAAGGTATCAAGGTTTTAATCGCCAAATGGGTTCTCCTTTCTTTCTGGATTAGAGTCACCTAATTCTAGTTGGTGGTGATCTGGGTGCCACTTGTCCCTTTAAATGGTATAAAATGGAGGTTATTCTTCTCGACGGTTTAGATACTAGTCTGTTTGGTTTTAATTTCAGCAATGCAGGAAGAGCATTGCTAAGCTAACTCCATGCTTTATACCCTATGTCACAATAGGAAACAATTCTTTTTTTTTTTTTTTTTTTTTTGTGAGGACTGGGCTACACAGTCTTGCTCTGTAGCCCAGGCTGGAGTGCAGTGGCACAACCTTGGCTCACTGCCAACCTTTGCCTTCCAGGTCCCAGTTCAAGCAATTCACCTGCCTCAGCCTCCCAGTAGCTGGGATTACAGGCACACGCCACTATGCCCAGCTAATTTTTGTATTTTCAGTGGAGACGGGTTTTCACCATGGTGGTCAGGCTGGTCTTGGACTCCTGACCTCCTGATCCACCCGCCTTGGTCTCCCAAAGTGTTGGGATTACAGGCGTGAGCCACTGCTCCCAGCCAGGAAACAATTCTTGGAAGATCTGAGGTGGGCAATCTGGGGATTCAATTAAAAATGTATCCTGGGTCACATACCTTTTATAGACTCCCCCTCAAAAAAAAAAAAAAAAAAGAAAAGAAAAAAGGAAAAAACAAAAACCCAACCATAGCTCTTTGCCTAGCTCTTCAACTTTCAGAGGAATCTTCATTACTTATGGTATGTATCATACGTTATATACAAAATATCACAGAAGTATAGAATATCAGAGCTGGGAAAAGACCTCAGAGATCACCTATTCTAACTGAGTACTTTAGAGAAGATGAAACCAAAAACCAGAAAGGGAAAATGGCTTTCTAAAAGTCACTGGTGAGGAAGTGGCAGGCCTAGGGCTTTCATCTCAGGGACTCTACACCACACTGCCTAGCTGACATATAAATGGACATCTTACTGTCAAATTGGCAGCCCTCCCAGGAACTCTCTCCTCCCATAAGGCCAGAGTCAAAAGGGGAAAAATGAAAGGGTTAAATAGCACATTCCAGAAGAGAGGAGGCAGATGTGATAGCCTTGAACATTTAAAACATGATTTAAGTTAAAGCTGCAAATGTTACTCTAATCAGCCTGAAATACCTCCTGAAGGTCTCCTTCACGTGTTGCCATGTAGAGAGGCAATAAACTGCTACATATGCTACATTTATTTGTTCATAATAAATGCTCTGAGCGGTTCTGATTCATCTTGCCAGAGAGATGGGGAGTGAGAAGGAGAGGCTGAAAAAGGGAGGAAGGAAGCAGGGGTGAGGGAGAAGGGGGTGTGGATTTCAGTGACATGCAACATGGGACAGATAGGACAGGGGTGGTAGGGAGTGTTGATAAGTTGACAGAACAGTGACAAGGAAGCAGAAAGGATGAGCACCATAGAAAGCAAACATTGAGGCAATCACAAAAAGGGTAGGTTGGTGAGACACAAAGAAGGAAGCTGCGTTCATGCAAAAGCCCGCCTGGGACCCCCCTGGAGGCATTCATTTCTGTCTCCCATTTTGGCCCTCAGTTTTAAAAAATGAGATCTACTATGTGTGGCTTGTCCAGCCTTTGATCAAGCAGCCACATCACAATGGGAACAGCAAGGAGTGAGGACTGACTTAGCATTTCACACCAATGATACGTGCAGGGAATGGGCCACAGTACCTGAGAGAGTTTCATCTGCATATTAGCAAAGACATGGAGGAAGCCAACCACTGCGTCCCACAGCCTGCTGTGAGCCAGGCTCTGCTGGTTACCAATGCAAGGGCCCTATGGGGAAGAAGACACTCCATGTCACTTCAACATCACAGTTACTCTGAAACCTGTCTAGTAAGGGCATCTGATACCTACCTACATGAGCAGATAGACTTTCCAAAAGTCACATATTTCATAGTTTAGTATTTTCCTAGGATATTACTTTTTTCTTTTTCCTGATTGTAGGATACCATGTCTAGGAAAAACCACTAGGGATTTCACAGTCCAGATATTTTCAGAGACTTTCTTTTAGCCTCAGAATGAGTTCTTAGAAGTTTATAGTGGAAAACAATATTTAAAACTGTGAGATGCTGTGGTTGACACAGGGCTGAAGGGCAAGCTCCCCAGCCTCACCTTGGCCTCAGAGGCCTTCGGGGGAACTCAAGGGTGCTGCAAAGCACACTGTGAAAAACCAGGCCCTCACTTACCTATTGTTCCAGGCAAAGTTTCACATGGTGATAACGACACAGCTATCTAATTAAAAAAAAAAATCTGTGTAATAATCCTAGCATTCAACCACTTCTAGGATTCTCTTATTAACCTAAAATCAGATATAATAGAATCTCTAACAATCTTTTCTGAAAGTCAAATGAAGAGGAATAACTTAGTATGCATTTTCATGTTAATCTCTCTCTGTGTGTGTGTGTGTGTGTGTGTGTGTGTGTGTGTGTGTGTGTGCGCGCGCGCGCGCGTGTTTAAGACAGTCTCACTCTGTCACCCAGGCTGGAGCGTAGAGGTGCAATCTCGGCTCACTGTAACCTCTGCCTACTGGGTTCAAATGATTCTCGTGCCTCAGCCTCTCAAGTAGCTGAGATTACAGGAGTGCACCGCCATGCCTGGCTGATTTTTTTTGTATTTTTAGTAGAGACAGGGTTTTGCCATGTTGACCAGGCTGCTCTCGAATTCCTGGCCTCAAGTGATTCACCTGCCTTAGCCTCCCAAAGTGCTGGGATTATGGGCATGAGCCACTGTGCTCAGTCGATAATCCCACCATTTTTGAAGCTCATGATTAAGTCAACACTTCTTATCTTTTCTTTACAGTCTAGTTTTGTTTTTTGTTTTTTTTTTTTTTTTCTATCCTTTAACCAATCTCCAAATTACTCAATAAGAAAGTTTTAAAAGGAGCACAGATATTACCTTAATTTCTAGAAATGTCTTGGCAGGATACCCAAGATTTAAAAGGTAAGCAGGAGAAATACTGTCTGCATTCTCAAATCACAAAGGTTTGTTAAAAATCACTGTTTATATACATTCAGTGTCTGATCACTAGAAACCATTAGATTCTTTTTGAAACAAAGCTGGTTGCTGAAAGAAACTCATATTCACCAAAAATGAACTTCTCTTTTACTTTTAGGTTAGTGCTCCATGGGAAGTTCTGAAGATAAGGATGGCTTTTACAGAGATCAAATCAGATGCTTATCAGATATATTTAATGATCTCCTTAAGTACACTGCATTCTGTGAAACTTCAGAGAAGTAACTTGTTATTAGGTTTATCTCCTCGTGTCCTTACGATGCTTGAGCGAAAAGGATGTATCTCCCCTCAAAATCCTTTCAAGTTGACAGTGTTAGCTTTGTCTTTCTTTTAATGAGCAAATATGATCTGATTTTGCCAGTTGGCTCATCAGATGAATCTTTATGTGATGAGAATTTAATGTTTTTCATCGAACAAGTTTTGGCTCAGTCATATTACCTGTAAAAAAAAAAAAAGCCACAAAAACTCTTGGATTCTTGGAATATAAAATATTCTTTAGGAAAGAAATGAAGGTGTACAGGAAAAGGTAAAAAAACATTCTCCATTTCTTTCCTTACCTATCTCTTCTGTTTCAGCAAGACTGGCATAATTGCTGACATTATTTCTCATAAAGCCATGCATAATCCTATCTCTAAATTTTCCAAGTCACTGACACAGAATATACTTCCTCCTCTGTATCTATCCATAGCCTATGTGTGGTCCGATGGAGACTCAGGGCCCTTTGGCTTTTTTTTTTTTCTTTTTTTTTGAGACCGAGTTTCACTCTTGTTGTCTAGGCTGGAGTGCAATGGCACTGTCTCAGCTCACTGCAACCTCCGTCTCCCAGGTGCAGTGGTGTGATCTTGGCTCACAGCAACCTCTGTCTCCGAGGTTCCGGCGATTCTCCTGCCTCAGCCTCCCCAGTAGCTGGAATTACAGGTGCCTACCACCACGCCCAGCTGATTTTTGTACTTTTAGTAGACATGCAGTTTCACAATGTTGGCCTAGCTGATCTCAAACTCCTGACCTCAGGTGACTGACCCACCTTAGCCTCCCAAAGTGCTGGGATTACAGGCGTGAGCCACCGTGCCGGGCTACATATGTGGTTCTTAAGCACAGTATGTATGATCACGTATGATCATTTTTTCTTTTTTCTCTTTTGATATAGAGTCTCGCTCTGTTGCCCAGGCTGGAGTACAGTGGCACAATCTCAGCTCACTGCAACCTCCACCTTCTGGATTCAAGTGATTCTCCTGCCTCAGCCTCCTGAGTAGCTGGGACTACAGGCGCATGCCAACATGTCGGGTGAATTTTTTGTATTTTAGTAGAGACAGGGTTTCACCGTGTTGCCCAGGCTGGTCTCCAACTTCTGAGCTTGGACAATCTGCCTGCCTTGGCCTTCCAAAGTGCTAGAATTACAGGCATGAGCCACTATGCCCGGCCATATGATCATCTTATATTGAATAATTTTTCTTATATATATATTTGCTCAATTGCATTGTAAGCTCTTTATGGGTAGAGGCAATATATTGCGTTTCTTTTCATGAACCACAGCACAGAGTACAAGCTGAGTATTTTGTTGAATGAATGAATAAGAGCCCTATTCATGAGTCTCCTGATTATGGTAATCTGAAGATGAAGTGTTACTTCTGCTTCAAAAAAATCTTGTATCACAGAGGGTAATGATATGCTTACTAATTTTATAGCAAATTGTGCCTAAATACATCCTCTGCTCCTTTTCCAGAATAGTTAGACCACCATAGACAATGAATAGAAAAATACTATGGACAGAGACAGACTGCTGCAAGGTCTAGATATTTAACGTGAAATTCATTTGCAGATTTGACCACCACTGCATGTGGTTTGTGTGCTTCTGAAGTGACTTTTTCCACGGTGAATTTCTGACAAGTCAATAGGATCTCATAGATTCTGTTTTTAATCTCTATGAAGGTAACGTCGTTTATCCCTTAATTCCTTCATTCTGTGAATCCTTTCTCCACTCCACTCTCCATGCTGACTGAACAGATACATGCCAGACACTGTTCTAGATATAAAGAATTTTAAGTGTAGTAAAACATTTTCTTTCCACGAAAAATGTTTACTTTAGGAGGGAAAGCAAAAGGTTAACTAGATAAATGCAAGTCAAGTGTGAACACTGTAAATAGGTCCAGTGGGGGGGACCCCAAACTATGGCTTCTTGTAGAATGCAAGTATTATTGCTTCCTATTGATAGACAGAAAAGAAATACTGTTAGCATCAGGGCTGGATGTGTTCAACCAACTATTCCGTAGGGAATACAGAATATGGGCATGTCAACATTCTCTTTGTTCTCAAGCATGCACTCTATAGCACATACCTGGATGTATTCTGTAAGAGAATTGAAAATCTGCTTGGTGACTGCCAGAGCTTTGGAAAAATTGTGCTGTCCAGATTCATCAATGATGTCCTTCCCGGAGTAATACCAGTAGAAATCACTGATTGATTCCTAAAAACAAATGAGTAGAGCTTAGTATTTCTCAGACTTCAGTCGGTGAAGCCAAACTTCGTGTTTAGGAAGAGTACGTGAGAGTCATGCATCTCTATGACCTCTTTGCTCTGACAGGAGCCAGGGACTTTGTGAAGAAGTACAGAGATAACTGACTTCTAGAATCTTTCAAGCACAAATATCCCTCCAGAGGAAAGAATAGATAGGAGAGTAGACTGCCTTCAGCTGGAACTGGGAGACTATGAAATAGGATAATTCATTCAATGTGAAATATGTGAAGATAATGGTAATTATCCAAATAATTGTAGTAACAGCAACAACATAGTAGTTAATATTGTAATTGCCAGACATTGTTCTGAGTACATTAAATATACAGGCATCCATCAGAGATTCAGAGACAGTGTAGGTTTGATTACACATAAACTACAGTAAAATGAACATCACAATAAAGTCAGTCAGACAAAATGTTGATTTCTCAGTGTACATAAAAGTTATATTTACAATATGCTACAGTCAATTAAGTGTGCAATAGCATTATGTCTTTAAAATAATGTACGTGCCATCATTAAAAAAATACTTTATTGCTAACAAGTGCTAGCAATCACCTGAACTCTTAGCAAGTTGTAAGTTCCACCATCATTTTCCTGGTGGAGGGTCTTGCCTTGATGTTGATGGCTACTGACTGAACAGGGTGGTGGCTGCTGAAGGCTGGGGGGCTGTGGCAATTTCTTAAAATATGACAATGAAGTTTACTGCATCAATGGACTCCCTTTCATGAAAGACTTCTCTGTAGCCTGTACTGTTTGATAGCATTTTACCCACAGAACTTCTTTCGAAATTGGAGTCAATCTCAAACCCTGCCACTTCTTTATCAACTAAGTTTATGTAATATCCTAAATCCCTTTTTGGCATTCAATAATGTTTAGAGCACCTTCACCAGGAAGATTCCATCTCAAGAAGCCACTTTCTCTGTGCATCCATAAGAGGCAATTCTTCATTTGTCAAAGTTTGATCATGAGATCGCAGCAATTCAGGTACATGTTATTCAGGCTCCACTACTGATTCTAGTTCTCTTGCTATTTCCAAGACATCTGCAGTTATTTCCTCCACTGAAGTCTTC